GGGGGGACAGTTCACCAACAAAATCAAACCGCAATGCACAATTAGAACACATCATGTAATAGTACATAGTACAGATATCAGACATGAAATTCATAACAGTCAAAACCGAGAGTGAAAATCTGAAACAATTCCTCAGACTAATGAGAATAACAATACAAAAAATGACTGGATATCATACAATGAATTCGTATGCTCACCAATACAATACACCCCCCCCCCCTACTCTTTTTTCCCCTCACCATTTTCCCCTCAAATTCGTCACACTAAAACAAAGTAAAAAAAAAAAAAACCCACAAAAAACTAAAACTCTCAAATCCACGTAGTAAATCGTTAACCCACTCGACGATTTGTCAAATCAGGCAAGAAACTTTTTGTTCCATTTTTTGTCAGTCTTAACGTCCAATTACAACAGTGAAATGGGTGAAATAGTACTACCGCAAGCTGTCTGCACGTTTCCTCTCTTGAACTGAAAATTCATCTACATAAGAATGAACAAATTGATGGTGAGAACTGCGAGGGGGGACAGCATATGGCAGTGAAAGATTTGGTAAGTTACACAAAGCCATTATTTTGCTCTTTTGCTGAGTGAAACACTACTGTCATTAGAAAAGTGATATGTTCAAAACCTTGCAGCAAAGTAGCTAATAATATCAATATAATGGTCTCTCGGAATAAACAACAAAACTTTTAATATCCTCTCGGCTTACGATTTTACGAGTGCTAGTGAAGATGGCTGCCCTGTTGTTGAAACATTTATTGATCAGCCTGACCAAAGCAGGACTGGCTCTCTATGGAGTGAGATTAATAACAAACATTACTTTGGAAAAGGTAAGAAGATGATAGAGTACAGAGGTATAAGTTTAAAAGACCTTTCAACACTTCTATGGTTATGGACCGGTTGGGAACTCTGTCCATCAACAATAGAACGGGTCCAAGTATGTGGAGAGCCTTTAAAATTATTCTTCGATTTATTAAGCTTGATTTAAACATCCTCTCACACTAACTTATAAACAGTGGGAATTGAACCAGGGTCACTCACAACGCAATCCAGCCTGACTGGTCAAAGCGGCACAGCTAAAGGTGGGGGGGGGATGTATGGCAAAAGGGGAGGGAGGGGGAGAGAGAGAGAGAGAGAAAAGAGAGAGAGAGAGAGAGAGAAAAAGAGAGAGAGAGAGAGAGAGAGAGAGAGATGGGTGGCTGGCATATATATATATATATATACCCAGGAAAGAAGGGCTATTCCTGCCTCAGCAACACTGCAGATAACCGCAGCCCAATTTCCCAAAAGAAATGTTCCTGATCATGGGTATTTTGGGAAGTTAGTTTTTCAAAGGTTCATCAGAGCCCACGACCTGACCCTCCTCCTCCGTCCTCCAAGCCGCTCGACTCGCAGCAAGCTGACGTACAGACCATCGTTTTTCCCCGCGACACCTACCACCACCGGTACCAGAGGAAGGAAAAAGTACAAAGTAAACAGTGCAGTTCAAGGCTCAATACCTACTTGGTTCCGTTCTACCGCATTCTTACATCCCCTCTCCTCCACATTCTCACATCCTCCTACCCCAGGCGTGGGTTAACTATGGCCCCGCGGGCCAGATTCGGCCAGTAATTAACAATCAATGTGGCCCAATATACAGGGAGGTGAAAAAGTAGGTACACAGTAATTCTATCATTGTTAGAATACTTAATTCATTAAAACTATTAGCAAAATAAAATGTGCTGGCCTTTTGTGTGTGTGTGGGGGGGGGGGGAGTTATTTTTAGTGTCATTAATCATATTTTATAGTAACTAATTTAATGTACTAACAACTTGAATGAAGTATTATAACAATAATGTGATACTTATGGCATACCTACTTTTGCCCTCTCTGTACACAGGAATATAAGAATGCTTCTAGAACACATCTCTCTTCTACATTAAACACATTCTTGTGAGGAAAATGTCGTTAAGTTGATGATTAATAAAGAATAAAACTGACCATCCTGAAAATTAAAACGAATAATTCCTGATTCAGCTGGAAGCAATACGTGTAGATCTAATGTTCTTTCACACTTGTAATATAATATAATGTCCTTGAATGACATATTATGCTAGAGTGTCAGTCAGTTTCAGTCTCACTTTTAAGAGCTTGGGTCTTTCAGCCAATTTCAATTTTTCATCACATTTTTCTCCAATTTCGGCAAGCAAGATATTCAGAATATCCAACCCACGACTTGGACATGCTTACCCCTACCTGTCTTCAATTACCTAAAAGAGTAGGTCGTCAACAAGCTGTTCAAATGTTCTAAGCCCAAAAAGCAAAATTTTTAACCCTACCCGTACATCGTGTTTTACTACCGTATCCATACAACGTGGGGAACTCTGTGCCACCACTTTCAAAGAGGAAATTTACTCGTTAATCCGATCCATTACGCTTTGCATAGCAGTCTGTAAAAAAATTATTTTTTGAGAAATACTGAAAGTTTCAAAGAGATCTTATCACTAGAAGTATTCTAAAATGTGAAGAATACAACACCGGATGTACAAAATCATCCCAGGGTGTATGGATAGGGATAAGGAAAAAGAAAAAAAAAAAGAACTTATTCTCGTAACAATTTTTGTACTCACACAATGTTTTTCTTTTCTCTCGCTTTTCAAACATTAAGAATTTGAATTTCAACAAAATATTTATGAAAAGCACGCCAGTCAATACACGATAGATTAAGAAAAGGCAAGTTTTTTTTTCCATTGAAAATTTTGTGTTAAGTAGCCCACATCTGAACAGTTGGCCAACGATATAGAGGCGCAAAACCCACACCAGACTATACCTATCAAGAGGAGTACTACATAAACAAAAGCATCATGGAACAATTTTGAGACTATTACATTTGAGTGGAGTTATAAACAGAGATTCTCACTCAGCATTTAAAATCTAATGCTTACCGTACAAATACTTTCTATAATATAATAATAAAATATATACAGGAATATGAACGGTTCCAGAACACATGGATCTCTATATTACATGAACACATTCTAGTGAGAAAAATGCTAATTATACAGATTTCCATCTCTGATCTGAAGGCAAGGAATTAACGGCAGTAACACTACAAGCTCAGAAATAAACCCAAAGGCAGAGGGACATAACTGCACGTTTTATTATTTTGAGAGAAAAAAACAAAAAAACCTCCCCAAAAACAAATTTAATACATATCAATTGACGTTATGTATGCTTTTAAACATGGGGTGTGCCAGGTGGAATATAATGTTACTCTGATGTATTGACAATGAGACTAAGATCAGTCACTTGCGTAAATTTACCAATTTGAAAAAACACTATTTCCTCCTACCTTTGACACACAATGGATATGGGGAAAGACTAGTGTGAAGCAAACCAATATAAAAGAAAAAATGAAAAAAAACCCAAAAAAACCTTGATTTTGTCAGATACGTTGCTATGTCTGGAAATGTCAGTACAGAGGTCAAAGGTTATTCCGCTAACCCACTGGAGGAAAGTGTCCAGGGTAGCCACCACAACCATACAGGACAGGTGAAAAACAATGTCAATACTTTTGGTTTCGTTTTCGTAAGGTCACCCAAGTGTTAAACTCAAAGATGAGGTGAGGTGTTTTTAGAGAGTAAAATACAAAGAAAAAAAAGACAGATAAGGACAATAGATGTTTGATAATAAAGAAAGAGTAAACCACAACAGAGCATCCGCCAACCACCCACTGACAAACCTGATCAGACAAAAATCCCCACTTAGTCTCTAAAAGTACTAGGCCGCAGCCACAGAGAAGGTAAAGTTTTAGGAACTCAACAAAAATCATACTTGGAAGGACTGTACATCTCTTTAGAAAACTTACAAACTTTTTACTTAAACTTCAAGAGCGGTCGGTACACCATTAAAAACATTAATAATTAATAAAAACATTGTATCGTAATATAAATATCGCTCCACATGAGCTCCCAGAACTTTTTTACTTCCTCCAAGGGAAAAAAGCTAGAGATACAGAGGGGCAGCCTCTATAGAAAAACTTTACACATAACAGATGAATACCCTGTGGGGGAAAATCTACCAATTGATAAACTGAGGACTACAGGGAGAAAATCCACGATGTCACATTTTCTTACAAACTGAAAACCTTGATTCAGGGAAATCCACGATGTCACATTTTCTTACAAACTGAAAACCTTGATTCAGGGAAATCCACGATGTCACATTTTCTTACAAACTGAAAACCTTGATTCAGGGAAATCCACGATGTCACATTTTCTTACAAACTGAAAACCTTGATTCAGGGACTTTCGGGAGGGGGGAGGGGGGGGAGGGGAGGGGTGTCATGTGTAAAATTCTAAGAAGTTTTTGTGATCTACTTTTGAAATATCTATTTAGTTTTAATGATTACTTTAGACGGATCGCTACCCTAGAATTACAAAGTTCTATCAGCTCAGTACTTAGTTTTGAGAAATCTTGACATTTAAAAAATTTGAGTTTCACAACACATCAAGCTTTTTTAAATACGATTCTCTGAATATCTTGATAATACCCTCGTGTAATCTTACAATTTTTGACAGAGCAGAAAGGACATTTGCTTTCTGACCTCACGGTCTTAATAACTCAAAACGGCGAAAAACGTCGGATAGAATTTTGTAATTCTAAAGTAGCAGGATGTCATCTTTCTGTCTATGTCATTAACTGAGCTCTGCAGTTGAAGAAAAGGACTTGGTTTGGACATCACCAGTTTTTTTCCCCCCTGTAGTCTTCAATTATTTGTGCAACATGGTCATTTGAATTTGTACATTATTCCTGAGTGTGGATGACCATTTGCACAGTAGCGGTTAAGTAAGAGTTGACCACCATTTTTACAGTAAAATACTGAACATCTGTAAGTATATAACCACACTGTCTAGCACACACATAGCGAAATATGCAACAACAAACAGATTTTAAGAATGTCCAAATGTTTTTTCTTAAACACGTATATATATTCTTTGTATCTAAATCATGTACATAGTGAAAGAAATTCAAAACTAAAAAGATTTCCAGGTAGTGCCGAGCCGATCTCGCTATGTGTGTGCTAGATCATATTTTGTTACCAAAAGAAATCTGGAAATGTTCACTTGTAAGCCCAATTGGACAAAAAATTAAGAGTGAGATCTACAGAAAATTTGACATAGACTGGAACAAAGTGAAAATAAACTGAAAGAAACTGGCAAGCAACGAAGCTCTGAAATTTCACATTTTTTGTAAAACGATGATGACATCCGTAAAAAAAATTTTTGAGAATCTTGTAATGATGACTAGATGCACAAAAATACGTTTTAGTGCAAGTTTTGCTTTAGTTTTAGAACGAGTTTTACGGCATTTGTAAAACAAAAAGATCATATAAGTGCCGAGATTAGAAGTGTTACCTGAGAGTAACATATAATAAAAGATGTGGCGAGATAAAGAACCATAAATCTTTGGATAGGACAGAGGGAGCAAACTACATCAGGAAACCTGTCAACCACATACTCAAAAAGGGGCAAACCTGTCCGTGGCCTCTTTCAAATCTGACTAACTTTACATGATAAATTATCGTTGAAACTGTCCGTGTTTTGTGCATCCATCGACACTATTTCAGATCATTTAGAAACTGGGCTGCTTCGACCCTGCCTGTCAGGACCAGCGCGGGCGGAGAGTGGGATACAACGACCCTGCAAACAAGGAGACACTTCATCCAAAAACACCCCCCACACAGAAATAAAAACTTACGTCTTCTTTTGCATGCCAAGTGAAGCGCCAAACTACAAAACCACAGATGCTGGTTAACCTACGTTAGATGAAGAAAGATTAAACCAAAGTAACAATAACGATAAGATGAAAAACTTGACCAAACCAACAACTAACGACAATACTACTAATAACTATTATGATGATGATGCAGAGAAATTTGAAGTGACTAAAGATGATGATTAAATGAAGACAAAATTGACCAAACTAACAATGATGAAAAGACGAACAATTTGATAACACTAGTAACAATGTTTAGAGGAAAAATTGGACAAAACTAAGAGTGATAATTGTATGAAAATTTGACCATACAAACAACTAACAACAACGAGTAGACAAAATAAAATTTGACCGAACTAAAGATGGTGATTAGAATGACAATCTGACCAAACAAATGATGGTGGTGATTAGAAAGAAGAACAAATTTGATCTAACCATTACTGATTTCAGATGTAGAAACAATGGACCACTGTCTGAGAGTGAGTGCCAGATACAGAGGACACAACATAAATAAAGCTTTCAAACCAAACATTTTTTTTTTTAAAAACAAAAAACGGAGAGTAAAAGAGATAACATGGGCACAACCGGAGGAAAAAAAAAGAATTAAATAAGTTGACTTTTTATGTTAAAAAAATTTGATCGAATGGAAAGAACACTACCAAAAATCTTCTGTTACTCTGAGCCCGAGAATGAGGCAGACAGAAGAAGAGATGGGGAAGAAGTTGCCGTAACTTTACCGGCAAAAATTTTTTTTTATTGGGGGGGGGGGGAGAAAGGAATCAAAGTAAAGTAAATGATGTGGTACAATATTTCGTTTCTTCGAGACTGAATATTACATGTGATGTCGTTGATTCAAGGCTGAACAAGCGAGTAATGCGCGGCGTTTATTCACCACGAGATAAAACGTATTGTATGTAAACACTAATTGTTCACATCTGGACCATAACGTAAAATGTAATTATTTAAAGGTCAGACCAGAAGATATTGCGTAACACCTCCACCATGACAATGTGACAGGCTATATATATATATACATAATATTATATACATACATTCACGAAACCATTATCCCACACCCATCACACAAATTAGTTCAGGTTTACAAAAAAATTCAACACCCCTTCCAAAAAAAGAGGCCAAAAAACAACAACAACAACAACAACAACAACAACAAAAAACTCACAAAAGCAGTCAATTTCATGCAACTTGCCAGACCATCATACACAAAACTAGACAGCATCATTATTATTATACAAGGAACAAAGCTGAATAATATACATAATTATACACACAGTTGACTCTTAATACAAATAATGGAAAATAAATGGGGACAAGAAAGAAAAAATAATGTATTGCAGACGGAACAGAGTAGTACGACTCCAGGCCAACAAAAGTGAAAACGAGAGAATCAATTTGTTCCTCATGTCCAATCGATGTGAGAAAATGGCGTTGACCTATTTTTTACATTAGAATGAAGTCTTCGCTTTTCATACTGGTGGAGTCTCACATCCCTTTCAACACAGAACCAGTTACCCAAGATATGGGACCTCTCAAAAGACACCCTTTTCCACTGGAGAACAATGGAAACGGAGATGTAATTTAAAATCATATTCTCTAAACAGCCACTATCAGAAACAAACTGATCGATTGAGCTTGCGGTGCACACACAACTAAATGGCAGGAGTCACCAGATGTGAATAAACCTTTAATATTCCAAGAATATCACGAAAAAATGTAAAATATCAAGACGAACTGTAAACAGCAAATACAAACGGAAATCACGAGCATGTCATTCCTAGCCTACCGTTCATACAAAACAATACACATATACTGTACTATGGGCAGAAGCATAATATAAATTCCTTACAGTACAGCTGTAAAGTAAAAATTAAACAGGCATACACTGAATCCAAAGACTGATAGCACTAGTACTAGTAGTGTGTATTTTTTCACCCCAATCCACGTAATTCAGGTAATAAAAAAAGATGACAACAAAGACTAAACTAACTGAAAAAAGATCGAGATGAAAGGAACTTTGGTGATCATTTCTGTCTAAACACCAAAATACAACACAATCTGACAGTAAGTAATTGTTCAAATTCAAAGACAATGTAAAATACCAAAAAAGAAAGGTCTTCATTTAATTTAGTTTTAATGAAAGTTTTACGGTACTTGCAACACAAATATGTATATATTAGTATTAATGCCAAAGAATAGAGGTGTTACTAGAGAGTAATGCAAGAGTAAAATAAGGAAGAGAGATTTTATAAGGACATCAGATGTTTAGGAAAGAAAGAGCGAACCATACATTATATTATGAAAGAGCAACCACCAACCACTCACTAAAAAAGGTGGTGTAGGTCTAAACTGTCAAAGAAGCACAAAAAAACCTTCAAAGGAAAACTCCAGCAAACAATAAATCAAATGCATTTTTCATCAAAATCCAGTCACCATCTCCCCCAACCTTGGTCTGTAGGTACAGGTGTCCTAGTGGTTAGGTTCTCTAACTCTCCACCATATTATGGTTGCAGGGGACTATACCATTCTGTCAGGGGCCCTACCTTACAAGTGTCTTCGGGGAAAGGTACTTGACGCAAATTTTCCTCCCTTCACCCAGATTGGAATGGGTACCCAGCTATAGACAGTAGACAGCAAAAGAGCGTGTCAGTTTGTTGGTGTTTTTTGGCATATGTCATTTGCACTTTGCACTGTATGCTTCCCAGGAAGCCAAGAATGTTTTGAGCTGTGTTCTAGCATTTGCTGGGGTAATAAAAGTTGCAAAAAGCAAATAGGGCATGCGACAGATCCTGGATATGCGCTCAAATAAACAAAAAAGCTGCAACAAAAATACAACCAAAGAAAAATCAACTCCAAAGTGACAAAATAACAATGGAAGTTAACTAAACTAGAAATATACAAAAATAGTCTGCATGGAAAAAAACGCAGGGTTTTTTCCCCTCTTAATCGGTTCACAAATTTGAGTAACATAGAATAACAAATTGGCTCGAAGACTAAAAGCAAAAGAAAGTGACAAGAAAATTACATCCTCAAAGAAATAATGAATGAATGTGGCAAGCTGTTGTTGTTGTTTCGACTTAAAGCCCCTTTTAGGTTTTTTTAAGAGGCAGAGCCTCCAAACTAAACGTTTGTCTCCGATAGGACCTTGTGAAATGGGTTGACAGCCTTAACCCTTTGTTTTCACATCTCGCCGATCAGCAATGTTTACCACCCAGTTTCTTTGGATTTTCCCCAAAATGCCTTTGCCTTTGATGGCAAGGGTTTTTACTATATATTAGCCTTGTGATGGCACAGCATTAAAAACTCCACACACAAAAAAACAAAAAAAAAACAAGCCAAGCTACAGACCACACCACCCTATTGGGATTCAAATAAGAGCCATCCACTCCATAGTCCTGCATGACACCAACTGAGCTAATGGAGCACACCAAATGTAGAATGTAGACAGTCAAAAAATGGCAAGACAGCAACATCTAGCAGTGTGGCAAACTCTTAATAAACAGTGACACATGATGGAAACCGGCCACCAAAAAAATTCATCCAAAAAGTTTTTCTGCCAGAACAAAACTTATCCCCCCTGTTCATCCAAATTTGTTTCTTTCTGTTCATCCAAATATTTTTCTTTCTGGGCAAAAATAAGACTCCAAGCTCTATTTGCAATCTATAATAAATCCTAACCTTAAAGGATAATTTTGTGAGGACTTAGTTTCAAAATTAAAGTTCAAACCACAAGGATTAAAAATAATCTTTGGCTCATTACTGCAAACAGCACAAATAAAACAACTTATGTCTTAAAACACAAAAACATCTGTTCAAGAAATGATTCTTCCAGATGACAGACTTACTACATCAGAATATACTTCAAAATTGTCTTATTTTCCAAACAAGACGCTGAACCACTCCGAAAATTAAACAAGAGGACAACACACTTGAAACTACACACACAGCTTACAACACACACACAAACTTCATCGTATCAGTAACAATGAAGAAACAAATGAACACAGTGAAATCAGACGCAGGTCAGTTTTCGGACATGTGGAGTAGCTGGTGTTGTCTTAAAGCTTTGTCTTGCTTACAAATACCTCATCTATCTTATATTAAATAGAAGAATTGAAATATTTGCGGTTGAATGTGAGGTGAAGGTTACCTTGTTTCAAAGACAAAATTAGTGAGAAAACAGCCATCAGTTTGGTGCACGACTTCATGATAGCTTCAGAACCTTTAAAACTGAATATTTACATTTTTTGTACCTTTAATCAACTTTTTTCCAGAAAAATCCACACAGATATGTATTTTTTAATGGACATTAAAAGGGTCGTGCCAAAAATTTAAAAAAAAATAATTTGATAATAATTGCCACACTGGCAAATGACGTTTCTTTGATTTCATTATTTTGACGAGCGCTTGATTTTACCACGATGCCTTTCACTTGACCTAGTGACCACGGTGATATCAGAACACAACAACAACAGGTATAACAAGAGTTGTTGTTTTTTTTGTCCCCTACAGTGGAAGGATTCTCAGGAAAAGAAAATTTCATAACACACACCCAAAATCCATCATAATACAAACGTATATAACAGATATTTTTATATGTCAATATATTTATATCATATATCATGTATATATATATTATGTACAATTCTCTATGCAATACAAGGCAAGGTTTATTGCATAAGGAAAGAAAGAGAATGGCAAGTTCCCTTTAGAGTCCTCAAACTCTGCAAGTCATTCTTGGAAATGCTGACCTTATGGACACAAGAGGAAAAAAAATGAATAGTAATATTATACACGACATAACAGGCTACGAAATGTAAACACACACACGTACAAAGAGGAGAAAAAAAAATACCAGACCCGTGTCTCTGTAAAATGAAAAATACTTTTTGATCCACAATAAGGAATAGAAGAAAATAAAGTAGAGAGTAGCCTAAGCAGGCATGAGATTCTTTCCTTCTTCAAGAAATAGAGGTGTGTATAAACTTGTAAATTATCTACTATTCCAACCCTTGAACAAAATGACAGGGCTTTAACTCCATGACGCATAGTTTTGAGAAAATGGGATTCAAATGTTCACACTCTTACAGTTATACTATTGCCTTTACACCTTATTTGTTTAATGTCGAATTGGAAAAAAAAAATACAAGTCACATTGTCTCGAGCCTTTGACACAATGTGCAAGGCATCTGTGTCGGAAATGTGTAATATGTGTAATTCAGTTCTTGCAAAAAGTGGAGTTAAAACCTTATCATATATATAAAAGGACACACATATGGGTAATATCAGGTGGGATAGCTTCACATAATTTCTGAGATCTCGATTTCATTTTCCTACAGCAGTAGAGTTCCAGAGGAACAACCTACTGCTCTGCGTATGGTTCAGCTCCGCACAGCAGACCATCTGGATAAAAGAGAGAGCAAATCGACAACCACGGCTCACTTAACAGTTGCAAACCATTAGCAAGCTGATCAAATATACTTGGCCCAAAAAGCAGAATTTTTCACGAGATGGGTACAAGAGATCAACTGCTAGGGTGTTTGTAACAGTGACACCGCTTAACAGAGGAACTGCTAGGTTGTAACAGTTACACTGTACAACGAATCAACTGCTAGGCTGTAACAGTGACACCGTTTAACCAATCAACTGCTACGACTGTACCAGTGACACCATACAACAGATAAACTGATATACTGTGACTCGAACATGTAGCCCCTCCCCCCTCCCCACCAAACTGCAACTTTATGAACTGATCAAGAAGACGGACAATAGCCCAGGATAAAAGAGTGTTTCAATATACAACATGCTTGACATATTCTCTTCACAGCACTTTCTCCTCAAGACTCCCGGAAAAAATGGCAAACAATTGCTAAGTTGAGTACCCACCCTCATCACTCTGCAGTCTCAGTTATCACAAATTGAGTGGCATGGTATCTTCCACTAAACTCAATGTTGTGGAAGTACTGTGCGTAAAATACGTCACCCAACACTCTATGGCAGACCTTGACAATTACAAAAATGTCCAAGCCAATCCACAAACCTTCACAAGTAATGCAGCAATAAACTGACATCTGTACAACTGACTCATACTTTACTATCTAATGATCACAGTGGAGATGACATAGTCTGACATATATATGGAAACCTCAGGGGGAAAACAGCATAAGTTGGAAAAATATTGCCGCCAAACTGTTCATAAATATACTAGTTCAGAAAGCCAAATTTTTCAGAAGAGAGGAAAAAAACCATTTCATTCTTTTAAGAATTATATGATAGGGCCTACATTATGTATCTTTTTCTGTTTTTTTTTTTTTCACCATTTACAATTTGAATTTCAGCATAATATTTCCTGAGTACATGCAACCCACACCATAGACTGAGAAATTGCAATTTTAAGAAATTTTTCAAAATTTTGAGATTAGAAAATCTGAACAGCTGGATGACAATACTAAGATCAACTGCCTTTCTCTCATATGTTCAAATGGACTTCTGCTGTTCTTTCCAAGTACAATAATTTAATATATATACATGTCACGAGTATGTGGCTACAGCTGTTGCTGATGAACATCATATCAAAGAACAGATCAAATTTCAAATCAAAGGCAAACATTTTTAATCATGACTTATGCCATTTTTCTCCTGAGATTCTTCTTTTCATATTTATATATATATGCCTCTGGTGGTACAGCAAAACCTGTTGGAAGAAGTAAACACGAAAATTGAGATCAGCTGGTTTAAGGTCTTTCCACGAGAGCAAAACATCACATCCCAATGATGCATACGAAAACCATCAAATTTTTTTCTCTTACAATCATTTAAACAAGTAAACCCAGAATCAGTAGATTACAAATCAGTCAAAATGTCGCTGACATCACATAAATGACTTCAGGACTTCAGTCTGAGCTAGAGTTTTGCAGTCTGACAACCAATAACCCGAATTAATCCTCTAGTTTAACCTGACCAACAACCTCATTTGGTACTTTACCAATTTTATCGCTCTAGAAACTACCTAGACTGTCAATTATTCCAATGTACAAGAGAAAGAAAACAAAAACAGACAGAATTTTGAAAAATATCTTAAAGCAGAAAAAGAACTGCCCACCCAAAAGCGATTAATTTGCATTTATTCTAAACTTGACTTTTGCTTTTCGGTGATTCTACTTCGCCTTCTTGTCGAGATATTCAACTGGCCTGTAAGAGACAGACTGCTGTGAGCTATTAATCCAACCACAGGGTAAAAAGTTGAAAATCTGTTTAACTGAAAAGCAAAAAACAATTCTAAACAGAACAGTGGACTTTCATTTCTCAGAGCACACTATTGACAAAATGAGATGTAAAATCTGCCAAGAAACTAGACCCCCTGGAGTTTTTAAGTAATTAATAAAATTTCAAAATATATAATTACATTTAAACCCTTTCATCATTACATATTATACATAAATCCGATAACAATTATGATTAGTATGTTAAGTCTTTACCCGTTCAGATAGTGATATGTCAAACTAGATAAGAAAACATCTCGATAAAACTATAGGCAACAATTATTAGTTTTGTACCATTTGATAAAAGGGTAAACCAACATACAGTCCAACCACCTGCTGTAACGGCCACCTAGCAAAGACAATCATTTCCCACCCAGTGTCTTGATCTTGTGTTATAATGACACGGTCTATGACGTCTATCTGTCTAAGACAACCACTTCTCTCCTCGCAATAGGTGACCGTCTGATACAATTTCGACTGTATTTGGCTACAAGGGCAGCAAGATTGTCTTCCTTTGATCCCAGAGACTCAGATTTTGGACAACATAAGGCAACAAGATGAAAGCATGCAGTCTTCAGACTTCCTGAATATCAATTTGAGATTTTACACCAAACTGTATACAGTCTAAACTAGGTATGTGCCTAGGGTCAATCCCGTTAATATAGATGCCCATGAGGTTGTATCCATATTGCAAAGCTCTGTATCATTTGATCCTGCACACACACACAAACACATTTTTTTAAAACAAAACAAACATGTGAAAGTCAGTGTGGTTCTTGCGTGCACGTCTCGAGATGTTCTGACTTGACGATGTTTCATTTCAGAGAAAAACCAAAAAAGTAAGACGCCGGGATTGCTCTAGGCTTTACGCAGAAGTTTCATAAGCAAACCAACAGAGTGAAAGTCCTATCTACCGTGTTAATCCAACACGCAGCTGTCATCAATGCTCCACCAGATGGAGAGAACTCGCAGTACAACTAGAGCCTCCCAGCACTTCGTTGATATCCCAGGCGTTTAGTACTTTTTGCGGCAGCTCACGAGGTCTGTCGACAACAACGACATTCGCAGCCGCATAGAGTGGAACTCCACTGATGATGTCATCCCCTGCCGAGGGCTCATTCGAGGCAGCGGGGCGGAGGGCACTGACAACACTACAGGAGACCACACTGCTGGATGCGCTAGATATATCCACCGTCACATCCACCGAGTTGTTGGAATCTGATGAGAACAAGGAGGAGGAAGCCGTAGGGACGCCGCCAGATTTCCTTTCGTTGTCATCGTCGTCGAGACCCGACTCCCAGCACGAATCGTTGTGTCCTGCCGCGTCACACGCCTGACACACGACGCACCCGCCCGTCGTCGAACCTTCAGGAGCCGACCTCATCTGTCTGTCGGCCCAGGCAGGGTCTGCACCGCCACAGCAGCATTCCAGCTCCCGCACGACCCGCGGCTCCCCACTGGAGGAATGAAACAGCAGGGGCTGGTCGCTGCTCACGCTGCAGCTCCGCGACGACGAGGCGGAAGACGACCGCGGCAACTCACACGGGCCCCCGAACACGTCGTCTGACTCTAGACCGACGCTCACTACACACTCTGGTGTCCGTGAATTCCTTAGAGAAACATTCTCCACATCTGCTATACTACAAGTACTCAACACCCGCGGGTCACATGTGCAGTTTGATTCCACAATTCCCGAAGTTTCAATATGGCCGGGCGTCAAGTCTGACCTGGTTGGAGGGACATCTTGCTCATCGTTGGCCCTTCCTCTCTCCTGAAGGTCAATGACTCGGGTCGGTTTACCCGGCCTCATGATGATCAGCTTACTGGGAGCTGGGAACACAAACAGAGAAGAGGTAAGAAGATTTCCACAGTGACCTTTTTATTTTTTTATTTTCTTTAAAGTAGATGTTTTATGCCCCCATCGACACAATTTAACTCTTTTTTATCCTAGCCGTACCCCCTCGGACTCTGTACCAGTCCTGGGGCCGCCACGCCGTATGAGTCAGAAGTCAGTGCTTATAGTTCAAAGTGCTATATTTCTTACATTTACTCTAAAGTTTTAAGGAAATTTGGCAGTTATGTTAGAAATTGAAAGTAGTTTTTGTAAATGCATGTTGTTAGGAAATACACCACTAGCACAATGTAGATTTTGAGGTACATTCCACCCTCGAACTTGACCCTGATTGTCGCGCCCATGACGTCCCATTGGATTTTATAGATCTAGATCTAGCCCTACCCATCGAGCACGAATTCCAGTACTGACCCCTTCACCATGATCTGAATCGCTATTAGATGAGTCTAAGTCCTGTTTCTTATTATCAACAACGGAATTTACGGCACTTATTTCAGAATCACTTTCATCAAATTAGTATCATTCCCCCTCACAACCCAGCGCCACTTCAAAAAGTACTTCGTCGGTTGTGAATGTGCGTTTTCGAGACATCTTTCAAGCTTCTACACCAATCAAAAACAAAGAAACCACTGTTCATTGGAAAATTTAAATATTCAGAGCTATTTTGAGTCATTTTGACTTACTAAGACCATGAGATCAGACATCAAATTCTCTATCAGCTCTATCAAAATTGTAAGATTACTCTCCGCCATTATCACAAAAATCTCCACTTCTATTCAAGATAGATATGTATCTTTTTCATCAAAAGTAAGACAATAAATAAACACACTTTAAAAATTAAAGATGATACTAATAACACCAGATGCCCAAAGGTTGATGAGCATCCAATCCCAGTGTGTCGTGACACACACGATCATTCTTTCCGGCACATACCCGACATGATAGCCTCCCCGTACCAGGAAGATGGCGTGAGCGTAGCCAGCGGGGGTAGGGGAGGCGAGTCATCCATAGCCGCCTCGGCATCGGCCTCGGAAGTGATCTGGCTGTGCACTTCCTTTTTCCGCCGCTGCTTGTTCCAAGGGCAGAAGAGGCTTATGGAGACTTGCTGCTTGCACAGCGGGCATCGGTTGGACATCTTGATCAACCAGCGGTCCACACAGTAGCTGTGGTAACCTGAGACGGGGTTTGACAATGAAAATGACAATCATTATTCATCTCGCAGGGAGAAATTTGTCTTGGTCCTGTACAATGGCAGTAGAAGTTACAAAGATAAAGTGCACTCACGCATACGCACAACAAGACAGGACATTAGTAAATACATGTCTCACATGATGAAACACCTCTCTCTCTCTCTCTCTCCCTCCCTCCCTCCCCCCTCTCTCTCCCTCCCTCCCCCCCCCCTCCCTCCCTCCCCCTCTCTCTCCCTCCCTCCCCCTCTCTCTCCCTCCCTCCCTCCCTCCCTCTCTCTCTCTCTCTCTCTCTCTCTCTCTCTCTCTCTCTCTCTCTCTCTCTCTCTCTCTCTCTCTCTCTCTCCCTCTCTCTCTCTCTCTCCCTCTCCCTCTCCCACTCTCTGTCTGTTTCATTTGTAGCTGTGTGTTCAGTAATCTCACTGCAGTTGGTACGAATGTATTTCTATATCTGTATATTCTTGCTCTTTTGGAAATGTATCGTTTACTGCGGGTCGATAATTGAAATTCCAATGTCAGTGGGTGGCTATGGTCACTTAGCATGGATAGGATGGAGAAAGGTTTAAGAATGGAGAGAGGGGATTGAGGATGGAGAGAGGGGTTTGAGGACAGAGAGGGGTTTGAGGACAGAGAGGGGTTTGAGGATGGAGAGAGAGGTTTGAGGATGGAGAGAGGGGTTTGAGGATGGAGAGAGAGGTTTGAGGATGGAGAGAGGGGTTTGAGGATGGAGAGAGGATGGAGAGAGACTTTTGAGGATTTTGAGAGGGGTTTGAGGACGGAGAGAGAGGTTTTAGTTAGTTTTAGTAGAGGTTTTACGGCACTCGCAACTGCATAAGGTCATATGAGCGCCAGAAGATTAGAGGTGTTACAAAAGAGTAACAAACATAAAAAAGAAGAAGGGGAGATAAGGACGATAGATGCTTGATAGGAAAAAAGGAGCAAACCACACCAGAGCACCCGCCAACCACCCACTGAGAGAGGTTTGAGGACAGAGAGAGGGGTTTGAGGATGGAGAGAGAGAGAGAGACAGAGAGACAGAGAGAGAAAGAGAGAGAGAGAGAGAGAGAGAGAGAGAGAGAGAGAGAGAGAGAGAGAGAGAGAGAGAGAGAGAGAGAGAGAGAGAGAGAGAGAGAGAGACACATCGCATACAGTAAAAGTAACTGTAGATGTTTTATGCCCCTCCCACACACACACACACATGAACTTATGTATAACACTTGACCCCAAAATCCCATCCCATTGGGAACAGAATAAATTAAACAGTTATTTAAAAATCTCAGAGAACATTTCATCCTGGCTAGAAAGTTGTTTGAGAATAAAAGGTTTCCATCGTATCTTAGGTACTTTTGAGATATTGGATGTCAAAGTTTGTGAATTTCAGACTCAAAAACAAATAAAACCTTTTTTATATGTACTTTTCTTTGAGTAAAATAACCATTTCAGAAAGAAATGCAGATCACACTAATTTGTGCCTTACAGACAGAATCCCTGAATGAACCGTAACTTTGACACATTCACAAAATGCAAAGAGGACCTTTTAGTCTCATAAGATGAAAAGGAGCTGCTGCACAAAACTATGAAAGGATGAAACAACAGACAGTTGAGTGATTTTTACAATATTTTTTTTTAATAAAAATTAATACGTGCACAGCACAAAACTGCACAGCACTGATACTCACAGTGATTACAAGGGAGTTGTCGAATAAAACGACCTTCATGAAACTCCTCATGACATATGGGGCACTTGTCTTGACAGTCGTCTGAAATAGAGATGTTGGTATGGCTATTTACAGTGTTTCCAAATAGCAAAATCCCAAAATGGAGGAAAAATTGGCGCAAAAGGCCCCCAGTGGGTCCATGGCAAAGCAGAAGAAAATTTGCAATTTTGAAGGGCTAAAATTTGGCCTTTCTGAGCCTAAAACTTAAACAAGAATGAGATTCAAACACCAAGTAAAGTCACTATTTAACTTTAACTAGGCCTAAATTGATAAAAAGAAAAGTACACTCCGTAAGTAAAGGCTCCTCCGAGGACAACACCAGAATGTGCATGCTTCATCACTACATAAATAGCAACAAATGATAATGGGGAAAAATTTTTGGTCTGTCGGGAGGGAAAAAAAAAAAAAAAACCTTCCGGGACCGCGATTCGATTCCACTCTCATAAAACAATAATTGTATGACTACAAACGCAGACACGCTGTCCATTCGACCATCAGAACTTCAGAACTTCCAACAGTGAAAGGTAGATTAAGCTTGATCTTTACAGCATGGTTTTACGAAAGGCAATGCAACATAGATCTAGACGTAGTTTTTTTTTTTACAACGCAGAAATGATAAAGTTGGAAACATGGGAGGGGGGAACCATCAATGAGGCGGCGGGCATCGGATTGGCAGATGAGGTCTGGAGGAAACTAAAAAAAGGCGGAAATCCACCATTTGGCGGCAAATTGGAAGCGCACTGTGTTTAAACCATAGAGAAACTTTCATCATATCCTTGTGAAACAACAAAGGAGTAATTTTTTTTCCACAATAAAAAAAAAACAGAACTGTGGCATTGTAGAAAAAGAGATGTCAAAATGCTTCTGTGCTGAGCGACATATTGTCGGCCTGAGCTTTATATATACTCAGCATAAGAAATATTTTGTCGAAATTAAAACTATCATTGTTTTAAAACATTTAGAAAAGATACATAATGAAGGTAACTTCTTGAAAGATTTGAAACAGTTTTCGGTCTCTCCTGAAAAATTTGGCTTTCTGGGATTATGACATTTGGTCAGCTTACAAAAATGTGATATCTTTATGTCTGAAATTCGACACAGGTGTTCAGTCGCTCGATAAAGAGCACACTTTCCTTCATCCGTGCAAGACAAAAGACTTCAATTCCTTATCAGACAAATGGAGCTTACAGGTAATATTTATAACTTAAATCTGAAAAAAAGATGGATACAGACTTTTTTTTTAAATCAATCAATCTATTCAAAAAAAAACTCATTTTTTACTTACCAGCTATGCCACGAGGATTTTGTGAAAATAGGAGAATTTACCAAGCAGCATTGGCAAACAAAGAGGCAGGTAACAAACACAACAACTAAATTAAATGGGGTTCAACAGAAAACAAATGTCGAAAACAATAACTGTTCATGAAAAAAAAAATGGAGTAACTGCATCCCTATTTCCTTTTTACCTCCATCTGTCCTCTGGAATCTCTTCATGGGCAACCTCTTGACCTCCCATCTTGTCAAAGACCGACCACAGCATCCCCATTTCTGCAGAAAAATGAGCATATCCAAAATCAACGCATCATACAAAAAATGTAATGCAAACGCTGTTGCTTTAAAATGCAAGCAACAAAAATTCTTACCTAAAAAGATAGCTTCAACAAAATGAGTTCAATCCTGAAAAATAGAAACATCTCAGTGACTACTAAAATAAGGCTTCTAAAACGCTATGTGTAGTCAACCCCTCTGTACAATTGTCAATGCTGAACTATAACAAAAGTAGAATAGAAGCAACAGAAATGTGGTTTATGGGACACTTGTGAATTACAAGGAAAGAAAATAATTCAAAAGAGGAGGTAATGAAAAAAGTCCATATTACAGTCTTCCCATTAATAAGAACAACTAGGAAGTGACAAATGCAGTTCCTAAAACACTTGACTCTACCAAAAAAAAAACCATTGAAAATTTTGCTGTAACTGGAGAAACAGTGGACAAAAGAAGTTGGGGTTGACCCAATGAAACTTAAGATGAAAACCTGAACAAATGGGGAAACACCGGGATAATACATGAGTTTGTAGAGCATCCTAGCAGTGAAATGAATGGAGAACCATGAACGCCAGAGCCAGTTTCAGATCTATATTTCACTTTTAGTTGGAGTTTAACGGCACTAGCGACACAATAAGGTCATACAAGTAGCGAAGATTAGAGCTTTTACAAGAGAGTACAAACATAAAAAGGAGGAGAGATAGGGACGACAGATATTTGATGGGAAAGAAAGAGCAAACCACCCCAGGGCACCTGCCAGACTTCCACGGTTTCAGATCTGGCACTTTAAGATGACAATGATGATGAACAATGACGATGTAGCAATGTCAGAGGATTTCTCAAACTTAAAAGAAGAGCACGGTTTTTTTGTTGCTCTTCAACACAAGCATTTCAGTTTTTGGATTCAGACCATCAGAACTAAAGAGGTGTACCTTTTGAATTCAGTCAGGAGAAATAAAGTGTAATAATAATAGCAATGTCGATCATTTTCATAGCTCCTAATTCCATGTACACACATCTCTAGTGTACACACATCTCTAGACACTTTACACTGACAGGTTATAAACTATTTTAACTGCAAATTCATTGTCTGTCAGTGTAACTAGCACCATATTAGAACACTAAGCTGCATCATCACAAACCTAGGTAGGTCCCCCCCCCCCCCCCCCATACAAAGCACTCGAGTTGACTTCTCAATGAGTTTAAGTTTTTGTTTAAATGAGAGTATCACAGCACTTGCAACACATTAAGGTCATATAAGTGCCGAAGATTAGAGTTGCTACATGAGTATAACAAACATAAAAAAGAAGGAGGAGAGGTAAGGTCGACAGATATTTGATAAGAAAGAAGGAGCAAACCACACCAGAGCACACGCCAATCACCCGCCTTTTACACAAGGGCACACGCCATGATCACCCCCCTTTTACACCAGAGCACACATAGACCTGCATGTGAGCCTCAACCAGATTGTCTGAAAATTTTGCACCTCCCCCCCGCCATGAGCTTTCGTGGGTGTCATAAAAGGAATAACTTCCGAGTAACAAGCGACCACCCCAACAAACAATAAAGAAGAGACCTAACCCTAACCCAACCCCTACCCCAAAAAAGAACCTGCAATGGCCCTCATGTAAAAAGGCCAGCACAAGTCAAAAATGAAAAAAAAAACAAAAAAAAACCACTCCAAAAAAACCAAGAAGGAGCACAATATGGCCTACATTGCTATAATATGGTTCGATACAATAATACAATAGAATTGGAACTATGAATCATCCACATAGATCTAGTAATCTGAATAAATCTAGATTCTAGATCTAGATCTATCTAGTAGAACAAGAGAGTAGGAATAGGCCTTGATCGAGAAATCGATTCCGAACAGAGGGACTCAGCTGAGTCTAGATTCTAAATAAATAATTCACGCACCTGATGAAATGCTTTTTACCAACATTAATATTACAGCACAACCTATGATAGGCTTTGACACAATAGAACTGGAATATGAATCCTCCATTGAGGTCTATAATGATCTATAAATCTAGATCTAGTAGAACAAGTGAGTCGGACTTGAATGAATCCACATGATCTGAACAATCAGTCAACAAACGAAATTCAAAATGGCCGCTCGAGCACGAAACTGAAAGTAGATAATTAAGGTCGTCGTCCTTTTTCGTATTCGTATTTCTACTCAGGTTCCGACAATTATGTCGGAAACGCCGACGTCGGCAGTTGGCACGAAAATGAAAGTGCCGACAAAGTCGACGGGAGAAAAAGGGGGTGCTGGCAGACGGCCAGGCCTTGCACTTCGCACATTGACTAATACAGGTGGGCCTAGCTATAGCATCGGCCGGCTCGCGGGTCGGGTCACGATTGTCGGATTTCAGACGATTGTCGGCAAACATGCAGGTCTACACACACCAATCACCCGCCTTTTACACGAGAGCACACATCAATCACCCCGCCTTTTCAGCGAAAAAACAAACGAACCAACAAACAAACAGGCTCATTCCTTCCCACCCCCCACCCCCCCATCCCACCCAAAAACTGACCACAGAGAGAGCGATGAGACTGCTGACCACCACACAGACCCAGATGTAGATGCAGATGTGGAAGTAATGCTCCCCAAATGAATCCACCTCCTCCTGGTCACCCTTCTTGCCATGACCGTGACCTTCCTGCCCTGCCCCCGTGTTGGAGGTCGTTGGGTGCATGTTGCTGGTCGTCTGACCCAGAATGGACAACAGAGGTGACCTGAAAAGGAAATCACACAGGCAATAAATATCACTTGACATAAATCTTCCATCTTCTTGTTTTATAATTTATTATCATTGTATTCAATTCTGAGTAATTTGGTGTCGTTTTGTAGACGACAATTGTCGAGAAGTGAAATTTACAGCTTCAAGGGCAATAACCGAGAACTTGTAGAATGCACAAGAACAGCCCTCATTTGTTCATTTTCACGCAGAATTGAATGAACTTTCTCATGAAATGAATGTAAGCTCTAAATTGTCAAACACTTTTTTATCCTTCTTTGTGATTGCTGGGGAAGTCCTGATTCCTGTTTCTGCATCTTTTTCCAGTAACAAGAAAAATAGGTGACACCTTAAGATGGCCGGACAAATATGAAATCTATTGGCTACATCCGAAAGAAAATCCAATTTCCTTACCATTGGTAATAAATATGTCTATCTGGAACAAATAGATTATTGCAGGAGGCTTAAGGGTATGGAGGACACATGAGACACAAATGAAAAAGCCGAAATACGCCAATTTGCTGGGAGTTAACCTGTCTGCTTGAATTTCCATCACACAGACGTATGTCACAAATTTCCTCACAGATATTGATAAAGTCATCTTTTGTATTTCTTCTTATGTTTATCTAACACTAAACCGGCACATGAATATATAAAGCTGATCCTAAAGAAAAGGCATAAATTGATTTGAATACAGATCGATAGCAATGGTAGAGACATAAATCATTCCTTTTTTTATTAGATAAATAAATGTAGGTGTTTAAGGGATGATGACGATCAGTGCACATAAATGTTATTCGAACTGACATTTGACTTACCTTGACATATTCTGGTAGAAAGTGGACAACAAAACACCACTGGTATAGTTCACAAAGTATGATGGAATGGACACAGTTACTGAAGCACCTGGAAGGTAAAAAAAAAACATTTTAATTACAATCTATTATAATGAGGGAAGATAAAATGATAATTTGTTGTACTGTAGGAAATAAAAGCTGATAACAATACAACCCATCACACCAGATACATCTCTCAAACCATACAACCGGTGCCTGTGGTGTTGTGGTTAGACACTTCATTTTCGCACATAAGAGACATCTCATTTTTAAAAATGAAATATTGTACCCCTCTCAGCTCAGGCTGGCGCTAACAGGCAGGGTCCTAAGCTCACCTCTTAAATTATCTAAATTGTGTCCATGGAGGCGTTAAAAACTCCTACATTTTTTTAAAAAAATCATTTCAAACCACATACAAGAATTCCTAACAGATTTTTTGTAAGTTACAAGAAATTGAGAAGTATTTACTCAGCAATAACGCAAAAATATTGCTGCTATGACCCCCCCCCCCTAAACACCTGGTTAAAAACAAATAGGATAGAAAAAGGGACTTCAAAATAAAAATAAAATCACATGAGAATAGCTAGCAAAAATTTTACCTTAAAAAATCTTTGAAGTAAAGAATCCAGTCAACTATAATAGAAAAAGGTGGGAAGCTTAAGCTTACCCTTTACTTAACCCCTTCCACTTCTAATTGGAGAGCAGAAATCACACAGGTCAGCAAATCATAAGTTTATGAGGCTTCAAGAATTAGAAATGCTGAGGAACAAGAGTAAAGACTGCAAGCTGTACACTTCCTCAACGGAAATGCAATTTCTAAATGCTCAAAATATGACAAACTCTTCTCAGTCAGAATTCATTTCACAGGCAATAGCAGAGACCACAAACCTTAATACTTCTTCTTTCTATTTCGCTCAAGAAATATCCTCCTCTGCAGAAGCATTGGTCATTGTTAGACAAGGTCATATGAGCGCGCGGGACACACCTAATATTTTCAGTTGGTAGGAAATTTTGAATTTTGCCCGGGTGGCGGCCGAAGCTTCGGATTCAATAATAAATGTGAGGCAGCGTGGTGAAATCAGGCGCTCGTCAAAATTGTAACAAAATCGGAGTCGCCCTTGTCCGAGAAGGCTACTTCTTCTTTCTAGTAGACAGTGACGGACAAACTTTTTTATTATAACCCTTCAGTTGGGGGGGGGGGGGTGTGTGCCTCCAGTGGTTCAGTGGTTAGGGACTTCGGATTCAATAATAAATGTGAGGCAGCATGGTGAAATCAGGCGCTCGTCAAAATTGTAACAAAATCGGAGAAACGGGCGTTTTTCCGCAAGTTGGGAAATTTTAATCAAATTTTTATTTCTTGACTTAACCTCTTGTAAGTCCATATAAAAACACATTTGCATGTCAATTTTATTGGAAAAACATTGATTAGAGGCGCATAATAGGTCATTTTTCAGTTTTCAAGTGCTCATTTGCTATAGAAGTTTCCAAACTTTGGGGGACATTTTCTCATTAATTTCACCACTGAAACTAGGCGACCTCACTTCCCTCAAATGCAGATATCTTGGGTTCTGATGAAGATAAATATATATTTATTTCATAGGAAGCAAGGGCAAATGAATCAGCTTTGAGACGATCCAATAACTCCAAATGTCCAAAAATCGAAGAGTGCCTGATTCCACCGCGTCGTGAAACAAATGTCAAATGTTTAAGTAGGTAACCACTGGGGTATGTCCTTAAGCAAGACAAGATAACCCCAGCTAAAAACATAAGGCGCTGCACACTGGTAACCAGCAATAGCATGTTTGTTGTACACCTATATCTGTATGTTTCAGTGTGTACAATCGAACCAGCTCTAACGGTCACCTGTATAAGACAAACACCTATACAAACGGCCACTTTCCATTTCTTCTCTCTGGTTTATCTTTACATTATAAAGCCGCTGAGTAACACCATCACCTGCCTAATACAGGGTGTCCAGCAATATTTCCAGAAAAAATTTACTTCCTGGAAAAAAAATTTACTACCCAGCAAATCAAGCCCCACACCAGCTCGAAAAAGGGAGTTAATTTGCGCCATCAATAACATATACATTATTATTACATAACATATGGAACGAAAAGAACACACAACAAAGTGCAATCGACAAAATGGAGGAAAGACAGACGATCGCAAGCTTGCTTGCAGCTAGATTTAGTTTTAGTAAGGTTTTTACGGCACTCACAACTGCATAGGTGATATGAGCGACAAGCGGTGGATGTCAACAGAGAAGTCCAAACAGGGAATCAAGCTTCGACTATCAAGATACCCCGGAAATAGTAGTTCACAAGCGTGACAAACATACAAAAGAAGTAGAGGAAAATGACGATAGTAAAGAAGAGGACAGAAAAGGCAGCAGTTCCCCCTACGCTGGTCCAGCACAGTATGAGCATGACATTGATAAATCAGCCCATTTACAATTCTACTGTGCATAAGAACATGTTAATATCCTCCCTTTGGGAATGGCCTAAAGACGTTTCAGTCAGTAGCACTGCCCTGGTGGAGGTGGGAGGGGGAGGGGGGGTAGATTTATACCTAATGTGTACACACAGGGTGACTGCCAAACCGGCTTCTCCATTTTCCAGGGCCATGTTACACAACAACAACGCGCACACACACACAGACACACACACACACGTAATGACTCGAGTAAACCTATTCAGTGTGAGAGGTGTAAGAACTGTGAGAGGGCAAGAGGCAGTGACACTGAAAATCTGCCAGTCTTGAACAGAAAGCTACAATATTGTTCTAATTTACTATCACCCAACAAATGAAACGCGAACACTTTACTTCAATAACACGGCTCACAAGGTAGGAAGGATTCAGATTCCACACAAGGCCTGCACCAACGCGCGCTTTGCAGAGGGCTCTAAATCTAATCAAAATTCTTAAATTTGCTTACAGTTTTTGTCCTCTAGTGTTGCCTTCATCTGCCCCCCCCCCCCCCCCTCCCCCGAGTGTCTCTTTTAAAAAAATCAATAATCCCTCCCCTACTCCGTAGTCCTATACTTCGCAACGCTCGACTTTTTAATGAACTTTGGCGACCCCAACAAACGCCGGTGCTCACCGATGCCGTACCTTGTTGTGCCTCGCGCAAAGGTTCACTGACCTGTCACGCTGGTGAACCCGACAATCTAAAAATCGGACAAAGCTTGTATTTTCTTTTCACTCCCCCCCCCCCCCCACCCCCACAAGTGACAGCACGGTGAAGAGTCCGAGTAATTATTAATTTTATTTGCACGGCGACAAAGCGGGTATACTGTACAACCTGCATATATTACAAATGTTGCGTTATCAGTTTATCTACGCCAAATTTCAGGGTGGTAACGAAAGCGAAAGTAGATCTTGATTTCCCGATCGAGCCTCGGTGTTATATACACTTCCACCTGCCGCCATAGCCGGCTTTTTGCGCACTCGGACGGGGAGAAGGTGAACGAATAATTATATCACAATCGCGACCGGCAAAAACGGAGTCATGTACCATGGCTAGGGCTCACTGAAAAGTCTTGCTGGCTTCATCACTCAGTATGCAGGCTAATTTACGACCGTTTACCAAATTTTTACTACCTTCAAGGCAAATTTACTACCATTTACGACCTTTACGGCCAGGGCGTCGAATTTACGACTTTTTTACGACTTTACGGCTTTGCTGGACGCCCTGCTGGTACAGGTTACCCACCTAATCCTGGAAATGTTTTTCAAGACCCCACTTCAAGGGAAAAATCAGGCTGCTGCGCGTCAAGAATGATCCCCCAAAAAGCCCATCTATCAATGATTAAAAAGTCAAAATGTCTTTAAATGAATGCAAATGTACATTTTGTACAGTCTTCAAACAATAGATGATTATTACGCTGGGTGACTGTCAACCCAGCTTCTCAATTTTCCAAGGGAGGGGCCTCATCCATTTTACAGGGGCATGTTACATAACAATGACAGCACGTGCTCAATTTATATCTAATATATGTATATGTTTGTGAATACACATACACACACATACACACACACCCACACATGTAGGTACACTATATCCAGTCAACAACATGTCAGCGCGGCACGGGGATCTTGTTTGACTTTAGTATTTCAGTCTGTTCTTACTTATTTATATTTTCCCCTCATCACATTAGCCTACATAAACTATAGGCCCTATTAAAAAATGAATCCTGTTGTGAGCCTGAGAAAAGACCTAGGACTAGAATATCGACTGTCAATAACCAGTCTGGGTGTTGTGATTCATATAATAAACGTGAAGACGAAAACTATTGCCCAAACTCAAAGTAGAGTAATATTAGTAATAACTTGAATGGCTCAAGTAGACCTATTCAGTGTGAGAGGTGTAAGAACAGAAAGCTAAAATATAGTTATAAATTACAATCACCCCATCCAATGAAACGCGAACACTTTAGTTCGATAACAAGGCATGACGGATCCCGATTCCACACAAGGCCTGCACCAACGCGCGCTTTGCAGAGAGCTCTTATAGTAAGCTAGTTCTCAAACTTCTAAATACTAAAAATTTGCTTCCAAGCCAAGTTTTTGACCTCTCACGTTGCGTTCAGCTTCCCTGAGTGTATCTTATTTTTAAAAAGCAACCCCCCCCCCCCCCCCATTCCGGAGTCCTGTACTTCCCAGCGCTCAGACCGCCAGTACACACACTCACAGGTTTATTGACCGGTCACAATGGCGAACGTGACAAGACGCTTGTATAACTTTCTTTTCTTTTCTTTTTTCGCAAGTGACAGCAGAGGACAAATTTTTAATATTGATTTACTTTCAAGGCAACACAGCGATCGTAATGCACAACCTGCATGTTACAAATGTTGCATTATCTATCAGACTATTATAGGAAAATTTCTGGGTGGTAACGAAAGCGAAAGTAGATCTTGATTCTTCCCGATCGAGCCTCAGTGTCACATATACACTTCCGCCACAGCGGTTCAATTACGTTTCTTCTTCATGATTCATCAACCATACTGTCTAGATAGCTACACCACTAATATCACACAGGCTCTATCCTTTCCCGACTTACAGACCCATCACAAAATTCCCGACTTTTTCCCGACCTCTCGACCGACCCATCTCAAAATTCCCGACTTTTTCCCGATCTCCCGACCTGGTGGGGACCCTGCTAATACGTCCACTTTTCTCCTCCACAAAGGATGTGGATGGCCGTCTTAAACATTTTCAACCATATATGTATTTAAGTGTGTATAAAATGTTACGCCAGTATAAACCAAATTTCACCATTGCCATCAATAAAGTGGAATTTATCTATTTATTTACAGAAGTTTCAAAAAGAACTTCTTCATCACTGTTTGTATTAACTCACTCGAGTTTTCCATCTCAACCAGCTTGTCGTCTCCTCGGAGACCATAGACGATGGCAGCTTGGAAGCCAGCTCTTTCAGCATTGAGGACCTGGAACAGACAAACACAAAAAGTAGCAGCAAAAATATAAACATTGAGAAAACTGAAAACAAACATTACCCAACATGCCTTAAGATAAAATCCAAGAAAATAAAAAGAAAGCAAGGAAAGCCGAAACATACCTAGAGCAGAGACTTAAATTCTGACTTAAAGAAGATGGAATACAGCTGAAGAGAGCTAGAGACTATAGAACAAAATAGAGGTAACTGGGGAGCTCTTGGTGACCTTTACTCCGGCATGGGGTGAGAAAGACTGATGATGATGACGACGATGATGATGATGAAAAATAAGCATTCAATACAGCAAAAACATTGTTTTGCTGTTATATGAATAATATAACTAAAAAATATTATAGACAGTACACAGAGAAATATAAAATCATCACTGATGTGGAGTAGCTAACCCAAAAAAAAAATTTTTTTAATGTTTATTTATAATTAATTTGACAAATCAAAAGTAAAGTATCAATTTCACATGCTCATAAACTGATTTGAATTTTGCTCAGACCATATAGAAATAAATCTGAACAAATCACCGACCATCAGGTTGCTGCGTAATGAGAAAGCCAATAAGTTTAATGCTTCTCCAGTAAAAACATTTACTCTGCTAGAGTCAGCTTATCTCATTATACAGGCTAAGATATGTCAACACAGGAGTGTGTTTACATGCCTGCCTATGAGCTTATAAGATAGTGTGAATACAGATCAAGTCTGGATATACGGGGAGTTTGCTTTTTCTCTTAATGTAAATGTTTTTAACGCATCCATCAACACAGTGAAGATCATTAGGAGGCAGACTTCAAACCTTGCCTGTCAAGGCCAATCCCGGGCTGAGAGGGATACAACATCCTAGCAGAAAGACCGAGACACTCAATATAAAAAAAATTATCCCCACCCGAGAATTGAACTTTGGACTCCTTTGCGACTGCATAGCGCCCGACCGCTACACCACTGACACTGGTCATGAGTGAGTGAAAATGCACAAATAACATCGTCCCACCTTTGTTTCAAAAGAGCAGTTCCCTCTGCTGACCACAGCAATCTGTGAGAAATTCGTCTCATTCAGGCCAGGAGCATGACCCACTTGTCCGCAGGCATCATGCGGGAACACCGGGATAGCAAAGCCCTGGAGGGGAAAAACATTTTGGATCAGAATAAAAGATCAATAAAAATACGTCCTGCAGAGAAAGTAATATCAAATTTGGAACCAGCATATCAAAATTAACAAAATGACTCTCAGCTGACTTTTTCTTGCTTGATTTTGAAGACCACAGAAAAGAAAGTATTTTTACCAAGATTGCGTCAGGTATCATTTTCTTATCACAAACACTACGAACAATTATCAGTTTTAATTGAATGAGTAATACCCCCAGGGTGTCCAGCAATATTTCCTGAAAAAATTTACTACCAGAAAAAAAAATTTACTACCCAGCAAATCAAGCCCCACACCAGCTCGAAAAAGGGAGTTAATTTGCGCCATCAATAACATATATATTATTATTACATAACATATGGAACGAAAAGAACACACAACAAAGTCCAGTCAACAAAATGGAGGATAGACAGATGATCGCAAACTTGCTCGCAGCTAGATTTAGTTTTAGTAAGGTTTTTACGGCGCTTGCAACTGCATAGGTGATATGAGCGACAAGGGGTGGATGTCAACAGAGAAGTCCAAACAGGGAATCAAGCTTCGACTATAAAGGCACCCCTGAAATAGTAGTTCACAAGCGTGACAAACATACAAAAGAAGTAGAGGAAATGACGATACTATAGTAAAGAAGAGGACAGAAAAGGCAGCAGTTCCCCCAATGCTGGTCCAGCACAGTATGAGCATGACATCGATAAATCAGCCCATATTTACAATTCTACTGTGCATAAGAACATTTTAATATCCTTCCTTTGGGAATGGTGGTTGGAGGGGGAAGGGGGTAGATTTATACCTAATGTGTACACACAGAGTGACAGCCAAACCGGGTTCTCCATTTTCCAGGGCCATATTACACAACAACAACGTGCACACACACACACACACACACACAAACACACACACATACGTAATGACTCGAGTAAACCTATTCAGTGTGAGAGGTGTAAGAACTGTGAGAGGGCAAGAGGCAGTGACACTGAAAATCTGCCAGTCTTGAACAGAAAGCTACAATATTGTTCTAATTTACTATCACCCAACAAATGAAACGCGAACACTTTACTTCAATAACACGGCTCACAAGGTATGAAGGATTCAGATTCCACACAAGGCCTGCACCAACGCGCGCTTTGCAGAGGGCTCTAAATCTAATCAAAATTCTGAAATTTGCTTACAGTTTTTGTCCTCTGGTGTTGCCTACAGCCACTGTCCCCCTCCCCAGAGTGTATCCAGAGAGGGTTGGTGTATCTCTCCAAAAAAAATCAACAATCCCTACCTCATTCCATAGTCCTATACTTCGCAATGCTCAGACTTTTTAATGAACTTTGGCGACCCCAACAAACACCGGTGCTCACAGATGCCGTACCTTGTAGTGCCTCGCGCGAAGGTTCACTGATCTGTCACGTTGGCGAACACGATAATCTAAAAATCGGACGAAGCTTCACCCCCTCCCCCCACCCCCACACACAAGTGACAGCACGGGGAAGAGTCTGAGTAATTATTAAATTTTATTTGCACGGCGACAAAACGTTTATACCGTATAACCTGCATATTACAAATGTTGCGTTATCAGTTTACCTTCGCCAAATTTCAGGGTGGTAAGGAAAGCGAAAGTAGATTTTGATTTTCCCGATCGAGCCTCGGTGTCACATACACTTCCACCTGCCGCCATAGCCGGCTTTTCACGTGAAACGTACTCTCAGACGGGGAAAAGGTGATCGAATATTATATCACAATCGCGACCGGCAAAAACGGAGTCATGTACCGCGGCTAGGGTTCACTGAAAAGTCTTGCTGGCTTCATCACTCAGTACACAGGCTAATTTACGACCGTTTGCTAAATTTTTACTACCTTCAAGGCAAATTTACTACCATTTACGACCTTTACGACGAGGGAAGCCGCCTACCAGAATCTGTTCGGAGGGGTGTGGCCCAAAGTGAGCAGTCAGGGCATCAAAAGTCTGACTTCTGTTCCAGCCATCTAGCACCTCATGTTCAGAGCAGTTGCAGTCACCAGGGAGGAATACCTGCAAAAGAAAGTTGTTGGGAGTCAGTGCAAGAAAGGTCACATTTTGATAAAAAATAACTTAACCCTCTAGTGCCCTTGGTTCATATTTGAAACCCAAGAAGTGAAAATCATGTCTATGGGTTCAGATTTGCGTTAAAATTTCGTTTCATACGTTTTAAAAAAAGGGGTTAAAAATATCAAATTCAGGCTTGACTGACAAAGAAAAAGAGTACACATAGCAACTAAAGTACCCCAAAAAAAATGTTCTTAAAGAAACAAAGATAAGCATTTTTCTCTGCGACAGTGGGTGGTCATCTTAGGCAGGTTTCACAATACTATGGGGAAATATCAAAGATTCAACAAAGTCAAACAATGATTCACACCAGTAACGATAAGAGGAGCACCTCATATTCACCAGGTCCCAACTGCCACTCTACAACTAAGCTAGAGGCAATTTAAAAATTAATCCTGTTGTAATAGGGTCATTCCATGAAAAATGAAACTGTAGTAACACACACAATGTGTGGGATGATGACCTGCTAAAAAATGTTAAAGTAGCGACAGGGCCATTCTTTTTTTTGTGTGTGTGTGTTTTCGTTTTTTCAACATGTAAAAAATAACTCTCTCACCGCTGAGAGAATCTTAAAGCCAGGCAGAAACCCCGCCTTGAGTGTCCATTACCTCTAACCAATAAGTTTCGACCAGTCTCCTTGATCTGGTGACTACAAGTACAACGACACTTACTGTCTGTATGACTGTTTTCATAGAGGTTCCCCTCGCCAGCAAGGAGGCGCCATCCAAAAGCAGTGGCAGGACCATGCAGTAGCGCAGCAGAGGCAACATGCAGAGACCTGCCCTAAGAGCACATGTGAGCAAACTGTAACACCTGTCCAGGGAGAGAGAGTTTACTTTTAGTAAGAGCTTTTTACGGCACTTGCAACACAAATACAAATAGAGGTCATTTTTAAAAAGGGCAAAGATTAAAGGTGTTTAGTGAGGAACATACAAAAAAAATAAAGAAGAGGTTATCAGGACAAAAATGTTTTTTGCAAGAAAAGGCACAAACGACACCAGAGCAACTGCCAACTACCCATTTGGAAAGAGAACCACAGGTTTTAAAAATGTCAACAACAAAAAGATAAAACGATGGGGTTCACGATTCATGACAATGCTGATAATAAAGACTGAAAACAAAGAGGATGGGAACGAATTTTAATTTAAAACATTCAATTCAGAAACTAAAAAATACAGTGTTTCCAGTCTGCCCTGGAACATCCAGAGAAAATCAGCTTTAGAAATTATTTTGTAAAGTACACCATTTAAGAAAACTTTTGATGATTTATTTCAATGCTATATAT